CAATCAAACTATTTATCACAGCATTACTTTCATTGATTTCTTGATTTTGTTCCTGCTGTTCTTGTTCTTGATCTTGAACAACAGACTCCAATAATCCGGCTTCTTGATTTGGTGTAATTGCGCTTAATTTATTAGCCGAAGATGACGATAAATCGATATCACCAGCATAATTATTATCCTTATCACTATCAGTATCTACACCGCCATTATCAATTTGCTCTTCGTCATCATCTTTATCGTCATTATCATCGCGAGTGATGGAAGTGGACAGATCGTGAGAAATTTTTTTGGTTTTATCATTATTATCTATACTCGTCATACTCGCACACTATTGATTATCAGTCAATCAATCAGCCAATCGGTTAGTCAGGTAATAAATATATAAGACCAAGTTATACAAAAATAAATATTTACATATTTATTTACAATTTTATGAAGTGCATTGGCCAAATGTTTCCACGGAAACACCTTGACATTCTTTTCGATATTTCTCGGTTTCGGATTTGAGAATCCCATAATCAATCGAAACAAATCATCACTATCCTTCGAGTTTTTCCCAGCAGTCAACGGCTTAAACCCTTCTAAATTTCGACGGATCCGGTTCTTCTCCTCGACAGTGAAACGCATCGCAAGCAACGCTTCCAAAAGTGAAACACAATCAACCGAAGTGATGTAATACTCGTTTTTGGCTTTCCACCAAATACACGAAACGATAATCGCGTTTGGCGTACGATCTTCATGATTTAAGGCCGCGAAAGACACGTGGATAATATTATTTTCTTGACGACGCCGGAACTGAACTAGCCGTCGGCAATTTGTCATTTCGTATTCGGTCCAGTTTCGTGCCATTGTGTTGAGATCTCCTTGAATGGCCAGTTTTGTGTTTCGTAGCATTTCTACTATGGATTTTTTGTCGGGTAACGCCATCGCCGCATCGATAGAAGAGTCTGCTGGTGGTGTTGATGAAGGGACTACCGGGGGATCTTTGAGTGTCGTTGATGGACGTAATGCCCATGGCATCTGTAATGGCATGTAGGGAAAAAATGGCCATTGTGAGGTAGTTGTATAAGATGGTCCAACTACGGGTGTGACTTCTGTCGGAATCTCGTATTTCGAGTTATGCTCTTCAGAGTTAAATTGTGCTTGATCGGTAAAATGGGTCGAAAATGGAAATTCATGCGACGATTCTATATTCAAGCGTTCTGTTTTCATAAATAAAACGAATTTTAATTGTCGGTTTTTATCGTGTTAAAGTGTATAAAGTCGTTTATGAAATGAATCTACCATGAGGAGAATTTGACGAGAGCAATTGTTGAGTTTTTGTGGGAGGAGTTAAAGCCGGTGAGGAATCCGAAGGAGCAGCAACGCTGACATAACCTTTAGGTGAATGATGATATAACAAAGGACGAGCAAGATTGGGCTTTCGAGATGATGATGATGTTGTTGTGAAATTTGGTGTGACGCTGGATTCTGCATATTTATTGATTAAAATATTTAAAGAACGAAAAAGTAATGAATGTATGGTCAATTGATTGATTTAATTACACGTAATTTTACCATCTAAAATTTCTTGTTGAGCATAATGAACTTTCGTAGATTTGCTTTTTCTTGGAGTGCTCGGTAATTGATCTGTATATGTGTGCGTGCAGAAATAATAAATTGATTAGTGAGTTTGAAACAACGATTTAAAGTCGCACAAATCGCAAATTTATTTATTATTTACCTCGAAATTGATACGTGAAATTACCAAAATGCCAAACATCATAAATCTGATCCTTATCGTCCAAAATATACACGTACAACGGCACACGCTTCACAATACTTTTAGTACAGACGAATGGTGGCACCATGGTCGTAAGACGATGCTTAGTATCAGTGAGCGATGCAAATTGCTGCGATAACACTTTCTGATGTCCGAACGCTAATTCTAGATGACATTTTCGGTCGGTCGGGAGCGCAATGTCAAATTCTGCGGAAAAAGTTATGCCTTCTTGGCCAATATGTGGATCGAAAGCCACTTCACGAATTGGTGATTGCGGAGGTGTAGTGTCGGTGGTGGTAGCTTTTGTAATTGGTAGATGTACTTCTGGCGGTGGTATGATGACTGATAATGATGATGATGCTATGTTATGTTGATGGTGGTTGTTGCGTGGCAATGATGAGAATTTTTTATGGAATTTTTGTGATTTTGTGTATCCTTAATGAATCAATAAATAAGAGTTATTAATATAATATGAAAAATTAATGTCTCACGCCAGTAGTATGTATATATTGCAAATACTTACTTTGTTGTTGATGCATTTTCTATATGAATTTATATATATATGTATAAATTTTATAAGGAAATAACACACGTATATACAGTATAGGTTTTTTTTAGCAAGGTATTTACTCTGTCTCTTACTTTTTCTTTTCGAGCACTGCTCATTCGGTAGTAGGAAAATAAATTTTTATACACTACAGTGTGGAGATGAAAAATATTGGAAGGTGTGCTTGTAAAAACATGATAATTTGAAGAATACTTTGCATTTACCGCTCTCAATATTATGTGTTATATATAGAACGGAAAGTCGGAATTCCGGAATTCGTGAATTCGAAATGAATCTTTTTGCTGCTGCTTCTTTCTAAGGTTAAAGAGTTTGTCGTAATTTTTGAACGTCTGTTGAGTTTTTGGTTTTGTTGTGAGAGAGAAAAGAGAAAAAAAAGTAAGCAAGCTTATATTATCGCATGTGCGAGAGATATAATCTGACAGAAATTTCTAGAATTTAACATTCAATGTCAATCAACGTCATCCTTATATGTCTTCTTTTCTAGAATCCTCCCTTTCACGTTGCTTCACGAAGGAAAACCCTGATATTTCGTTCCTTGGCTATTTAACTATTGACTATTTTGCCGTTTAGTTATTTGACTATTTTGCTATTTACTATTTTACTATGCTATTATTGTGATAGTTACTCTTGGATGCCGATCGCAAGTTCAACAAGAAAATAGATTCTCGTATTATTTTTGAACTATCGTCTTGTTGACCTCTTCATTTTCGAAGATGATTCTGACTCACCTCTTTCTTAATGGTTATTATTTTGAGTGGTGAACGTCGGATCTTTGAGGATCATTTAAAAAGAAAGTGGCCGAGATTGAAATTCAAAGACGAACGAACGAATGAATAAAAGCAAAGGAGGTAAAAAAAAGAGACAAAATTTGCAGACTAAAGTGAGTCGAAAGTTTATTATCAATATCAATATTAATATAATTTATCTATCGTCTATTGGTTTTATTATTTAGCTTTGATTATTGTGAACTAATGAAAATGAATGATTGTAATAATTAAAAACTAAAATAATAAAAAAATTTCTATTTGAGAATTTTCGTAAAGAAACGAACAAACACGCAAAATTATAAAAATTGAACAAAAGAACGGATCAAGCTCAAAAAAAAAGAAAGCGAACCGAACCGAACGAACGAAAGAACGAGGGAAGGAAGTTTGTCGAGAACCTTTTTTTTAAAAAAACTATGACAGAATTGTGAAATATATAACCAATAATAATATATAATATTATCAATCAATGAATAATTATTATTATTATTTTTTTGGCAGCATACACGCCTATATGATCACCTGGCGGGCAGCTCATCGTTATTGTCAATTCTATTTATTAATTGAATTTAATGGTGGTGCGATGACAAAGCTTTAGTTTAGTTGGATGATGTGATGCTTGTTGTAAGAAAATAGTTGATTGTTGTTCGATTGAAATGGGAATTGAATTCTTGATGATAGTATTACTTTTACTACTATGATGATAAATAGATATAATATAATTAATTGTACCAATCATTTAATCTGTATATATAATTTTGCTTTTTTATTAGCGTTAGTAATAGTAATATTGTTATTCGATAGAGTATGCAAAGTACAAATAAAAGATATGAGATTTTCTTTTTGCTTGTTTGTCAAGCAAGACGCGTTTTTTCCGATTATGCAATGAAATTTTTTTGCATAAATGTATACTGAACATCTAATAATATATCGATATATATGCATGAATCAACGCGAATAATATAGAATGTCATCTTATGATATAAACAATTGTGAACAGTATCTAGCTTTTTTAAAATGCTCACGCGCCCGCATATTCTCTTTTTGTCTTCTTCGGTCTTTTTTAAGTTCGCGTCCTTTTCCAAGAACTTTCTTTTTTATCCTTTATTTTTTTTTAAAAAAATAAAACATCAATCTTTCACTTCAACAGTTAAATTTCCTAAATTTTACAGAATCAAAAGTCCCAAATTTAGTCAAATCTAACCAAAAAAAGGAATCAAGAAATCAAAAAAGAAATATCAAATATCTACGTTCTGTCTGTGTGTCTGATACGCAGGTTTCACTTTGTGTCAAAATTAATTAAATTAAACCTTTTTGCCAAATAAAGTTGCCAACTGGAGATACGTACGCATATACGAGGAATGAAATCAACGGCTCGTGCGCAACTGAAACATCAATCAATCAATTAACAACAATAATTTAATATCCCGAGTGTGCTACGTCCAGAGTATTCGGTCCCCATTTTAGCATGAGACCCGTTGACCTCGTAAAGTTGTTAATAACTCTGGCAGAAATTAGGAGATTTTGAGAATAGTATCAAGGTCATAAATGAATGCATTAGAAATATTACCATGCACATGTACCTTGATATGTGATCTTGCCATTTCGATATAATTGTTATAGATCGATTATTATTAATACGCTGCGTCTTTATGTGTCTTTATATATATATACAAATAAACATGTGAAGGGGTCTGCAGGCAAAGTTTATTTTCATAATCATACGATAGGTTCGATCAATTAGCAATAAAAGTAAATGGTCTTTTAATAGCATAAAGTGATAATCCATTCTTTATGCGTTCTCAAAGAACAATAATTGTAACCAAAAACGGTGGGTGTAAAGTAATTTATTGGCACAGTGAATCCAATCAAAGTCGAAATTTATGTTTTAAGTTTAATAAACAGTGGGTGTTGATTTTTTAAAAAAGGGCACCGTAATTTTTAATTAAAAAAAAAGAATGAATATGCGCTTTATATCCGTCTAACCTTTTATATAAAGGAGAGCCCAGTGTACAGTTACTACTGGTAGCATCCCGCGCGGAGTTCCATCACCTTTGTCTCTCGTTTTTCTCTCTTTATATTTAGTTTTTCCAGGACGAAAATGATGAATTTTGTGTAATCAACTTTATTTAGGGAAGTAGGCTTCTATACAAATTTATACCTATAATTGGTAATCTAATTGCAATTTGCTAAAATGACGTATTTCATTTATTAAATGAATGATCGACATTATTCTATTGTTCTCTAGTAAGGAATGCCTGGAAAATGCCCCGAATATTAATAACCTTGTACCCATAATAACCTTATATAGTGCCCGTCCCTTGGTATAATAAGCAGCGTTTTTAATAAGTCAAGATGCGTCCCTTTGAACAGTAACTAGGTATCAATGTTTTGTAGGTAAATAATTTTCAAATAGAAAATCCGCGTTTGCACAGACGATCACTGTTCGATTTAACAGATTTGAGGGTCCAGCAAATCCTACTCAAATAGCAGATTAATTAAGTCCGAAATTGCCAATCCACAAAACATCATCTCAAACTCAAAAATTAAGTTTTTAAGAATAATAATTAAATTTTTTTTATCCAATACTGTTGATGATGTCACACAATAATAAACCATTCAACTCCTAAGTGCAGATTCTGAAAATCCTTTTTTAGACTCAAGCATATAAATCTTTTTAAGTATTTTATTCTCTTTAAATGTAGAATGCACTTAGAGGGCGTCGATTGCATCTACATTAATAAACAAGAAGTCCTAGCTTCACTTTAAATTCACAATCATGGATTCGGTTGGTAGGTTATTGCCAGACTTCTACACTAAGTTTTTTCTGCGATATTAGCATTTAACAGACATTTGACATTGATAATTTTAGAAGTCAGCTACATCTTGATAGCTCTGAGCATTCATGTTCTTGATCAGATTCTACACGCAAGGTGATGGCATTTGGATTTTTGTTTCCCTCTTGATCTCGCTTAGCCTTGGTATCAATATGCTATCGTTATCACAAAAATTCAATTGCCTATTCTTTGTCAGATATTTTTTGCCAAAAAAGATTGCGCATCTTCATTATCATTATAAGTTTGTGAAAATAATATTTTACCCATCTGGAAATTGTATTACAGATTAAGAATATCCTTGAGGGTATGGTGCTTTACATAATGATTTTTCCGAGATCGAGACTATGACTTTTTATGCTTGTAAAACAAAGTCGTAATTTAGGATCGATCGAATCCGAACGATGAATGAAACACGTAGAAACCACCTCGACCTCTGATTTTGATTTTGTTCGTTGTCGTTATCGGATTCTTAAATATTTGGTAGGGAAACTTCGTTTTTTAAGATATACATTCGCGTAAACTTCATCATTGACTATTTCGTCATATTATTTTGATCAATTAGTACGATGATAGTAGCAGGCATCAAACATTTTTCATCTAAATTCGACCATATTCAGGCGACGATGTCGAATTTTCTTGATCATTGACATGTTGATCCACCTCTTCTTATTCTGCCTCGTTGTTTTCTTTTTGCTGCTGTACCGCTGCTGAAAGTATTAAAAAAGAACCATTCCTACATTTATATCTTTATATTGAAGTGATCCACGTAAATATATTGGTGCATGCATAAATCCTGCCAATTCCAAGTCTACATCAAGATGATTAAATTCCCCAAAATGGAAGGTATGTTACTATAGCGATAGCTGTCCCGTCTGCGACGTTTTAGAGTCAATTAACGAAGAGATAATAATTATTTGTAATAAACGAATCACCAATAATTTTTTAGTTCGGGTTTGGAATTATCCATATGAGATGGTTTTTGGGGGTGTGGTGTTACTGTTTCAGATACTCGTTAAAATTATTTATTACCAATTTACCGCTATTAATTTATCTATCAATCAATTAATCAACATCTGCGGGCATTAATTAATGTTCAAAAAATAACGATGAAGGTGTAACTTACTTTTAAGCAGGCACTTTTAAAGAAGTATTGTCCGTTTTTCGCGAAACTTTTTAAAAAGGTTGTATCATGCTATAATTCGCTGAGAACGACAAATTTTGGTAACGTTTCGTCCCTTACACTACGATGGAAATTATATATTAAAATTTTCAAGGAATATCAGATTGCAGATGATTTCATCCTAATTTATAATTTAGTGAAATGGTTCATAGTAAAGGCAAAAGCTTATCGAGAACGCGATACTTGGCTTATAAGATATCATTATAAATACCAGCAAATGAATCTGCACAGTATTTCGTCAACTTAACGGAATCCTTCATGATCTTACGGTTTAAAGAAAGAACTTTCCGCATTTAAATCTATAATCAAAATAAATTGTGAAATGCGGCAGAAAATCTATAATCAAAATAAATTGTGAAATGCGGCAGAGAATTTTCTACATGTTATAATATTATGTCATATAATTAGTCAACCTGCTTAATATAAATTTTATAGTTGTGTTGTGAAACTATTATATCATGAAACTGATTGCGTGATTAACATTATATCGTGAGAAAATTAAAAATTATGGCCTATTTTGCGTACAAGAAACTTTTGTTTTTTTCAAAAGTCATCTCCAGCTTGGCTTATTCCTTCCCTCGATACTAAACCGCTTTGTTTGTCACCTTCTTTAGAAATCCCAAATCTTGTTTATTGTTACTTTCTGACACTACAATTAACTTGCTCTTTGGTTAGTTCGTCACTCCCCAGATTAATAAATGCTTCTCACATCTCATCCTCTCGTTTGATTGTTCACAAGTTGATTTATCCCGTTCTCCATCTCCTTTATGGTTTTTGTTCGCTTACTCCTGACTGCCGATTTTATGCTAATCTTTCTTTTTCACTCAAAAAAATAATCATGCAACAAAAATCGATGCTTCCAGTTATGTGTGTTTTTTATTTAAAATTTAACTACTAATTTAAAGCATAATCATGGTGCAAAAATAATGCTATACTAATATTTACCTCAAATCTTTTTATGTTTATGTATTAGCCATTACAAGATTTTTACAATGAACTTGCATTAAAGAAGGGATATGAAGTAAACAAAAACAGAATTTTCCCCAAGTTTGTAAGTTTCTATCAATGTTAAGAAGCATCGAATATTAATATATATATATATATATACATATTTATTTCTTATTTTTAGAAGTCGTACATATAAATCAGGAGATCCGGTGTAAGTGTAGCATATGCACATTGTATGTATTTGGTAATTAATTAATTTCATTTATACAATCGATAAAATATTTTAGTACTGGACATTATGGAATGCTCCAAGAAACAGACTTTGAACGAATATACATGCATATATCGATATGTATATATCTCATGTATGGGTTCTAAGTAAATGTGATGACGACAGCTCTTACACATGAAAATCCCAATTTAGCAGAAGTCTTTCCAATCGTCCGAATATTCAACTTACTTTATTCTTTGGATGAATGTACGACAATTATATATTTGTCACAAATGTGACGCACAAGGATTGAGCAATTTGATGATTTAAAACCGTTAGTAAACGGTTATCTTTTATTGTAATATCTACCGTTATGTATCGATATTGATGCATTCTGTCACATATTATTTAGATGACTACAAGTGCATATGGTGATCCGTTGATTTTTTTGAAGACGACAAATAGGAATAATTACGCTTTGCTCAGCCATACCAAACCAGATGAAAACCGGTGTTGTTTGAGTCGTCTCATCCCCGGTAAGATATTAGCATTAGCCTCATCGTGGTTCGTTCAATTCTTATGGTACTTTCGGATGTGCCAAACCACTTTCTGTTAATTAAATATTTGGTTGTCACATGTTTGATATAAAAACTCGTTTACGTTAGTATCACAAACACGGATTCAGTTCCCATTATCATTGCATGGGAAAAATAAAAAAGGGGGAAGAAAGATTCTTGTTCCTGAACCTGATCTTGACGAAATATGTGTAAGTAATCGTATCACAAGAGAATAGCGATGCATGCTATCACAACATATAAATTTATGGCTAGTTAAGCGTATGAGTCATATATAATAATATTATCGCAATCTTTTTAGAGTTGAGTTTAAGATTTTTTTGAGATTTGTTTTTTTTCAATCACTATACCTAGATAAATCAAATTTGGATAATTTGGATGTCCTCGCTCAGATTCATTTATTAATTTTGATCGACAGATTAGAAAATTTTCCCGGCCATTTTTATGCAACGTATTTAACACATTAAAAGTTTTCAGCGAAAATCGTTATTATGTACGTGCAACCACGAATTATACTGCTCACTTTTGGTAACACACGAAAAAAAAAGACAAGCATATATATAAGAAATTAAAAAGAGCAACTCCGAAGCATCAATTGGCTGATGATGATAATATATGACGTAAGTAATTTCTTGAATTGTGATTTGCTGAACATGAAAAATGTCAAGAGTAAAAAGAAAAACTCTGAACTAATTTTGCCATCACTATTATTTGAATTATGATTGTTATTATAAAATTAAACTATTATTACTACCATCAACTACTGCCTTTTTCAGTACCCTCAGTTTTTTTATTACGACGACGTCGTCGTTATCTTAGAACAACACGACTTACGCTCCCAATACTTCTATTCCCACTACCACTTCAACGAAGAAAAAAATTATACACTACCACTACTATAAATTACACCTCGGTAAAAAATCCCACAATTTAATTCCTCATAATACACTCAGCCTACATAGAAAAAAAAATAATAATATTTCGTCGTGGGTCGTGGTCGTCGTCCAGTTCTTTTCCCCCTTTGACTGTTGCTAATTCTTTTGCCTTACGAAAAAAACTACCACACCGAATAAAAGTTGTTAATAAGCGTCAGTAATAGTTGGGAATGTAAGTATAGTGATCTACTTTGCGTCGCATTTTATTTTATTGTGTAGTAGTAATCTCTATTTCACCGTGTAGCGTTGTCTTTTTTGCCATTACTCTTCTTGCTACTTCTCTTTAATTCTTAACTAGTCTCGTTTTTCTCTCTTGTTTGCCCCCCTCTTCTACCACACGATAACCTTCTTCTACTCTACTACCATCAAAAACAAAACCAGGCCGACTAAAAGCAGCAAAAGCCACTCAAAAACTAAGGGCAAAAACAAAATGGAAGAGGAAATTGTTCGTTGTGTGTGTGGCCAGTGTCGTAATTATCTTTTTTCTTTCTTCTTCTATCACTTAGCAACGACTAGCGAGACCCACCGAACGACACACGTACTCATTTGTGCATTTGGTTTTTTTTCTCGATTTGCAATTTTCCCTTCACAGAGAACGATGAGTTACCCATGGTTGCCTGCGACAAGTGTTTTGTTTGGCAGCATATGGAATGCACTGATTACAAGGAAGAAGTAAATTCAGCATATCTTTGCGAACAGTGTGCGCCTGAACATCACCCTTATCTTAAATATGGTTTCAGAACGTTAGTGTGATTTCATTTTTTTTTCATTTTAAACTCGTCAATTCCCAAAAAAAAAACTTTTTAGTCCATTGGAATCCAAAAGCACACTTTCCAATTGCATTCGTTTTTTTTTCTTTTAGTTACATTGAATATGCAAAAGCCAAAAAGAAGGAGCCAAGGGAGATACAGAATCATCAAGCAGAGCAGCCAGACCACTCAAATGTCAATAATACCACAACAACGAACTCCACTCTTACTAATGGTCACAGTCGACGTCGTTCAACTGCCAGGTCACACTCACAAAATGACATTGACTTCTCTTTCGAGTCTTCGTCTCCAACTAGTCGACAGAATGCTAACAGCAACACCACGCACAGAAAGTCATCCTCGAAACAGGGTGACCATCAATTGAATGGAATTAATAGTTCGGTAAAAGCACCGAAAAGAAAACAGTCAGTCAGTTCCCTTAGTGGGGATGAATCACTAATCAATGATAGTAATAATAACAATCACAAATTCAATAATGACATAGCGAGCTCTAATGATAATCATAATAGCATTAAAACTAATGGTGGTTCTAATAATCATAATGTGTCGTCGTCCTCTTCGCACAAACAACGTACTCGAAAATCAAAAAAACAGAAACAGCAGCATAGAATCGCGAGCAGCTCAGATGTTGAACTAATGTCTGAGCCTGAAGAATTACTGGATATTAGTGACGCTCAATCAGAGATTAAATTATCACCGCATTCATCATCAGTAGAAGTCCACCATATTAATGGCGAATGTATCCATGAAGATCGTGAAAAAGGTAATTTAATTCTATGACACACTTGGACGATTCCTTAACGAATTTTCATTGCAAGAATGAATGCTTTACATGATTAATATATTGATTCAAAGTAAAAATTTTTTTTTTACTTTTCAGAATCCAATTTTGACTTAACTACTAAACAAAATATAGAAGTTAAAAAACCTAAACCCAAGAGATCGAGGTCAGCACTCGCAGCTGAGAACATGACAGTCGAACAGATGTTGGAGAGAGTGCGACGCATGGCACAATATGTTGAAAAATTTGAAAATGAACGCGCTTCTCGTCAAAACATCAATAATTTTAATACCAATAGATTGGTAAGTGACGAAGAAGAGACGTCTGGAAGTATCAAAAGGAAATCTCGAGAAGCTACTAGTTCCTCGGCGTTACCTGTTTTGATAACACCATCGCCAAGTGATCACACCATGACACCTGAACCATACTTCGTGTCTTCACCTCTCGAATGCGACGTAGCAATTTCGCCTCTCGAATGTGACGTAGCAATGTATAGTCCTCCAACTACCGAAAACTCATCTGAAAAAGAAGGTCCAACATTGTTTGACCAATGCGAGGAATTGAGGAAACGAATTCTTCGATTCGAGCAAACTTATGGCGATCAGATACGAGCTGACGATGAACAAAAAATAATAATATAAAAGTATTGCTGAATAAACATTTATATTATCAAACTAAAAAAATTACGGTCACCTCATTAAAGCTGGCATATTGACGTCCTTTTCTCCTTTTTACATGTACCTCCTCTTTTTTTTTTTTTTCTTTGAATACTTGTAACAATCAATTTGCCTTCTTCCCTTTCAAAAACTGGGGAACACAAAAATTCATCCATTCCCAGACGTCATTTCTCATTACTACTTTATTATTAAAAAATTCGCTGTGTGAAAATTCAAACAGAATTTTTTTCCTGTTATATGGGATTAAATGATTTACACATACGAGAAGCTTGTGGGCCTTTTTCAAGATCAAAAAGAATTTGATGATCATTTTCACATCCTTCTTGTTAAAATTCCATTGCTTTTTCTTTCTCTCTTCATTGATCGGTCAGCCTATTAACTTTCCTGCTTGATGAAAAAAGTGTATATTCCTCTTTTTCTTTTTTTCTTTCTTTCTCTTTTGTAAATAAGTATACTGTTACTCCTTTTTTATTCTCATTCTCTTTTTGTGGAGTCTATTCGATCACGCATTCACGATATTACGTGATTCTATAGACTTGTGTTTGTGGTGTGTTTCTTATCATTTGTTAATATAATAATAAATAGTAATAGTAAGTAATTATAGATAAAAATAAAAAATTCCTGAAAAAATTTTGATGATAGGTGATATATTGGAATTTTATGATCATTGTATAACGGGATAACTTACTTTTAAATCGGAAAAACCAAGATTATTAAAATTTTTTGGAAACAATTCAAATTACTACATAAAGCAATTGGAAACATAACCGTGATTGGATGGATATCAAACCGGCAAAATTTCAAGAAAACCATGATAATGATATCACATAAATGTCGATATATTTCATCAGCTTGCAGTAATAAATCACATGTAACATGCTATGCACGTAAGTGCCATGATCTATTCGGAGCGCGACATATTGCTACCCGCCTTAATAAAAATTGACAGGCGATACTTGTGACATGAAAGAGGAAGTTTTTATTTATTCATAAAGTGTAAGAACTTATACAAGTAACTGATTAAACAACGAATGATACGCTTTGTTACTTATCACGGATCGAGCACTCGGATTTGTGACATATTTTCTTACTAGTCATTGACTAAACATCAATCGACAATTAAGGCATTTTTTTTGTCGGATTTGTTTGCCGGGCTGATCAAAAATAGGATCGTCGCGTAAAGGTAACACGTGATGAAGATCGATTGGTTTAGAAGTTATAATTACCGCTGCGTTGCGTGTAATTAAATTCATAATTATCTTCAAACAGAACAATACATCAATTTCAATATGTCCACTTACTTTGATACCGTGAAAAGATCTTACGAAGAAGTATACATAGATCCGGAGAGAGGCATATCGACTATACAGTTTTTGGAAGCTACCGAAGGTCTTGTCCATCTGTTCGGTAAGTATTGAACATGATGCGAGATTCTATGCAATTTCAGAGTCTTTAGTAGTAAGATTTTTGATGTGCCATACTATTATTTGTTTTGTTTGACGCCGACTTGAAGTCTTGGGAACGCGTTCGTCTCAAAGATTACGCGACATGATACCATTATAAGAGGGGGAGTAGTTTAGTAGTTGTTTCCACGACGCAGAGAAATATTCGAACAAAGAATCTTGTTTGTGGTTAACTCCATTTTTAGTTTTCTTCTAGATTTTTTAGGTTCGAGCGCTTTCAGTGTAGTGCAAAATGACATGAACGGTAATTTAAAGGTAGCTAATTTATTAATCAACTTATTTGTTGTTTGGTGATCAATTAATCTATTAAAATTAACCGCATAATATAAATCATTTTCTTTCAATGTATTAAGAAAATCCAAACAAGGTATCTGACTGACACAGAGGCGAATGATACTCTTGAAAATTTGGTGATCAATGAAAAAGACGAAAAGAAACGTGAAGCTACTGGAGGATTGTTATGGCTAAAACGGTAAATTGAGTTTTGAATCTAAATTTATGTTATTTGGTATTTGGAATTGGTTACATCTATTAATGGAAATGGATGAATGAATGAATGAATGAATGAATAAATAAATAAATAGAGGATTGGAATTTACCGCCGTAGCTCTTCGTCGTTCAGTCGAAAATCCTGATGAAGAACTCTCCGTATCGTTTACCCAAGCCTACGGGGTAACATTGAAAAAGTTTCATGGCATATTAATTAGGCCTGTATTTAACGTACGTATTATGTAACAAACTCACAAATAATCATCATAATAATAATGTATGGCAATTTTTAAAAATTTATTTTATAGTTGGCTATGAAAGCATGTCCATATCGAACCGCGTTCTTCAAGAAGTTAGGTGAAGATCAAGAACTAGTTCAACAAAAACTAGTTGCTTGGTTAACGGCTCTCGAATTAATCGTAGCAAGATTAAATTCCTTTTACGAATCAGGAGGGTATGATAAAGGCCTTTGAGAAACAGAATTTCTATTTAATTTATTGATATATAGATTTATGTATTTCGAGTTCTTTTTTTGTTTGTGTAATAGATTTTTCATAATAATGTTAAGTTAATCTGTTTAAATTTTGGCTGGTCTCGAATTCTTATTAACATCACATGTCTTTATTAGACGATCATTCTAGTGTTCCAAAAAATGTGACCGACAGTTAGCTAATATAAATCATGTGGTTGGCTGAACTATATTCTATGTAACAATTGCTATTCCTAATGATATGCTGCATCAGCTTAATGCACCCAATAATTAATTTGAATCCGGACAAGTTTTTCCTACATTTATTTCATCTATGATCTAAAATATCTGCCGCCTGAACGAATTTCTAAAATGACCACTCCTGAAAATCTTATTGAATTAAAATCAGAAGACGAGTTAAATGAACTTGTCAAAGCGAACAAAAGTTCCGTCGTGGTTCTTGACTTTTGGGCTTCTTTTGCGCCGGCTTGCAAGCAAATGAACGATGTCTTTGTTGAACTGGCTAGGAAACACTCAACTTTGAAATTTGTCAAAGTAATGCTGTCTTACCTCGTAGAAATTAAACACATTTTTTACTTGTTATTGATTTTTCTAACCGTGAAATTTCTATTTAACTTTAAAGATTGAAGCAGAAAACTTTCCAAACGTGTCAGGGTCGTTTGGAATTGAAGCCGTGCCAGTGTTTATAGTGCTTAAAGTATTTCTCTCTTTTTTATTCAACGAATTTTCGATATTCATATTGATTCTTCGTGTTGACCCTCATTATTTTGATTGTACAGAATGGAAAGTCTGCAGCACGCGTCGAAGGGGCAGATGCGCCAAAGCTTTCTGAAGTGGTAGAAAAGTATTCTAAAATTGCTGAATCGACTACTTCATTGTTTCCTATAACAGCAGATTCATCGTCACCAATATCCACAACTATCTCACCACCGAACGGTGATTTGAATGCTCGACTAAAGACTTTGATTAATAGTGCGCCGGTGATGGTGTTTATCAAGGTATACTAAATTTTGGTAGCTGGATATTTTTGGTGTTGTTGAAGAATGCGAGTTAACGTTGATAATGCGTAATATTTGCATCGCCTGTTTGGTCAAATTTTTATACATAGGGAACACCAAGTCAACCACGTTGTGGATTCTCCAGACAAGTTATTGACATTCTTAATGAGCATAAAGTCAAATTCAGTTCATTTAATATTTTAGCTGATGAAGAAGTAAGACAAGGTATTTCATTAACTGTTCATGCGTTTTCTCAAATTTATTATGAATAATTAATCGTTCATCAAATATATTGTATTTTTTTTTATCTAGGCTTGAAAACATATTCCAATTGGCCCACATACCCACAACTCTATGTGAACGGTGAATTAGTGGGCGGATTAGATATCATAAAAGAATTAGTGGCGTCCGGAGAATTCCAATCAATGATTCCAAAAGCAAAAGATTTAAACGAACGTTTACAAGAGTTGACGACACGTACTGATGTTGTCGTATTCATGAAGGGTGTTCCTAGTGCACCGCGTTGTGGATTTTCAAAGTGAGTTTGCTATCTGATGATTATTACGGTTATTTTTTTAAACAATATTTGATCTATTTTTCTCTTTTTTGCATTATTTAGACAACTCGTAAACATCCTTGATCAAAAAAATATAAAGTACGAACATTTTGATATACTGACGGACGAGGAAGTGCGCCAAGGTAATAAGCGAGATCTAATAATTAAGTTAATACTCTCGATCAAATAAATTATGATATTCATCAATTCGCTAATTTGGGAAATCAACAATTTTTCAGGATTAAAAACTTTTGCAAAGTGGCCCACCTATCCGATGGTATTTCATAAAGGCGAGTTGATTGGTGGATTGGATATTATCAAAGAATTGGATGATACCGGAGAGTTAGTGAAAATATTTACATGAAATTTCCATTCTCTTAATTTATCTGTTTGATTAAAGTATTTAGAAATATAGCTAATTAAAAAATACTATTTCGTTATGAAAAATCAAAAAGTCCAACGAACAATGAATCGAAAAAACACCACGAGTTTAATTACCTGTGTTTACATGCGACCTAAATATCTGATTGCATTGCAAAAATGACATTACTCAATAATTCTTTATAACGAATGTTCTTGGCTTAAAGATCGCGCATGTTTAACTATTATATTTTACTAAAATAATAGCAGTTATAAAGGCGCATAATTGCATGATTGATATTTCCCTTTATCATTCATATGAAATGCCAATATTATCCATGAAATCGTCGAAACATTCTTAGACGTGCATATTCTGTATAATTACAAAACCGTTAAATCACACCAACATCCCCGTAGACTTGACTAGTAAGGAACCTAGGAAACACACTTGCTAGAGCATAAATATCCAAGAAAGCATTAGCAAAAGAAATTAAAGTTTTTAGCATGCAGGTTATTGGTAGGTTTTTCGTTGTATTGTTTGTATAAAATCAAATATTGATTATGTTCTCCCTTTCTTTCATTTTGCCATTTATTCTTTAGCATGTCAGGTACCCTTAGCATGCATCAACGGAATATGATTTATATGATATATCTAAAATAACAGACGACCTTTATCGAACATACATCGCGCTCACAGATCTACATCATTAACCTTGTTCTCTTGGTAAAAGTCCCTTCCTTGCAAGAGGACGTCCGGAATGCGCCCTTCACTGGTAAGCGTCAGCCACTTAGTCATGCGTTGTGCTGGCTATTTGCTGAAGGCTTCGGTAACGAATGACTCATATTCGGCGTTCCCCCTTGCATCCAACAACTGGTTTAACCGCCAACGCGAACTTGGCACACTTACGGTACACGTAAATGTTCATCTACGATGCCTCAAATCGCATGGTCTCGGTTGTGCCGAAGGTGGTCTTTCCGGATACTAAGTTTTTTCTTCAGACAGCGACTGCCGCAACATCAATATTCACCAAATAGACAGTAGCGCAACCGGAAAAGAACTGTCACTAGACATCACTATCTATCAGTTAGGAGAACCTATAATCTATCCACTTGAGAATATATAGAACAAAAAAATTGTCATGAATTCTTTCTTTTCCGCTAGGAATCCGGTGGACGATCCCGCTTCATTTTTGACCACAAATGGTCTCTGTTGAATTTTTTGTCGTCATTAAATATCATCAGCACCCTAGTTAACGTGTTGAACAGTTTCTCCGATGTCGCTGGAAAATCTTGCTATTCCGAGGAGTTTGGAGTCCTCCAAGATGGGAAACTCTTGATGTTCTTCTTCCATGAGCTTAATGATTGTGGCGCACTTCTCATCCGGAATGTTGGACTTTGCTGAACGATACCGGTATGCATTGTCGTTTAGCAACAGGCGCTGCTATTTCGCTATCCTCATCCTCGGTGGGGCGCTTGACGCTTGAACTCCCTCGCTTTGATCATTACCTCCAACAAAAAAATACATCCATATGAAACGATACATGTTGGTTTCACATAATTAATGAAATTAATTATCTTAAGGTCGCGTTTCCGGAGGGCAATGCTGTAATTGGTCCAGGATGGCACAAAATGAGCCGCTTAGTACCAGAAGGGGTAACGATCTTACGTCTAACACCAACTGTGCTATTATCTACTTATAAAGTAGAAGATGAATATTTGGTGAAAAATACTGATCCCTTTAAAGGGCGCGGATGGGCAGGAAAGTCGACATGAAAGGCACGAAGTCATTTATGGTGGGTTGCAGACCGTTTGGAACTCCCGAGGCCTGTCGTAAGGAGCGGTATTTTGGCAAAGTAAAATTGATGATAACAATGCGCGATAGCATCAATCGTTTATTAAAGTGACAAATATGTGTCGATGAGAAAAACCCCCAAATAAATATCTGGGCGCTATTGGGAGCAAGTATGTCAAACGGTAAAGATTTACTGATTCTCTAAACGTTGATTCTTAATAATACCTAACATTCCTTTTATTTCTAGAAAAATGAGCTCTCAAAGCATAAATCCGATCGGGAACAGTATCTTCTGATCTTGATGAAAGGATAAAAGTGTCAGCAAAGAGCTTGACGAGGTGGAAAAGAATTATTATGTTTTCAACATCACTGACGAGAGGGCCCACCAAGAATCAAGACCGTCTGCGTCGGCATCCGTCGCGGCTGTGAAGGAGACTGCAATAATGAAAATAACGATAGCGACGACAACAACGGCATAGCAGCTGATATTCTCGAGTCAGCGAGTATGGTAGGATCCCTATACAACTATACAATCACAGTTCAATTATAACCCACCCTCTTATTAAAGAGGCGACGAAGATTATGTTGCAACTTAAATTTTGGATCGGCACAGCAACTGATACCAAACAGTGAATAGTCAAGAATCGTTTACGCCAGAGTCATAATAAATTGCGACGATATTGACGATACCATTATGGTGCAGGTTCAAAAATTCGTAGAATAGCCAAGTCGTGTGTCCGATAAAGTACGAGAGAAAACCCATGAAAGTCGAGATTAGGAACCGGAAAGAAGATTTTGGATACAAGATAAAACTATAAGAATCTCGATATGACAAAGTAATTTCCCTTTTTATAAGTATTTATTACTTTCAAAAAATGCTTATTATCTGTTTTAAATTTTAATTATTATTTTCGTTTTAATTGGCATATCGAATATTGGTAGTTACTTATTTCGGTAAATAATAACTTCGGCATTAAATTTTTCAATATTATATGTCATAAGGTGAATATTCTTTTGCGAGTATGTTCTTTCTGCATTTTCCATATCGATCCAAGTGTGTTAAAAAGAACTTAAGATTTTTTTTGTTCTTCTCGAACATCTGTCTTCTTGATGTGTGTACTCATAAAAGTTCTTTTTTTCACTTGGAACTTTGTGATCTAATAACGAATTAGTGCAAAATTTTGTTGAAAGTTAGTAGTAAGAGTGGCACCAACCATTGAATGATTCCTCTGGAAATGTTCTCAAAAATCATAGGACTAAATTTTTGCATTCCTGAATTTACAAAATTAAAATTCCGCATTGATTTAACGAAATGTCGTCTCAACGTTTCAATGTTGCGTTGCGCGTCGACGCTATTCAAGCTCAAGAGTTAGCTGCGAAAGATAGACATCATTTATAATTTCGTACATAACGATAACTATTTCAAAACTATAAATATCTGCAGCTTTAGTATATGGCTTTCCATTTAGAACCTTTGGGCTTATATAAGGAAGTATTACACAACTTTCTTGGTTAGATTTTTATATAGAAATGGTATGGGCCGGTGCAAAAATATCCGTTCCTCACAATAATCTTAATAAAAATTTTATTGAAATTCATTGTCGTCATCGAGATCATTATTAGTAACAAAGTGAAACAGAAAAAAAATGACAGATCATGTGACTTCCGATCACATTCTGTCTTTCCGGAGTTCCGGA